GTGGGGGGAGGGGCTGTGAAGACCGGCGACGAGAGGGTGGGGGAGGGGCTGTGAAGACCGGCGACGAGAGGGAAGGAGACGATGACTGCAGCTGGAGAAGATGGAGGCGATGACTGAAGCTGGTAAAGGGTGTGGAAGGGTAAAGTGGGAAGAAATGTAATCTGAATGGTTTAGTGGTACCCTAGATGCAAAATGGTTAAGAGGGGGATTGTAACCATTAAGAGGCATTTTTTTTTGCCAAACAACCTCAACCTCTGACCGATTAAGAGGTTGGCTCTTAATTTCACCATTAAGGGCCAAACAAACAGCCCCTTAACCGGATAAAAATGAGCAGAACCATATAATAATATAGTCAAAAGTAAGTACAAAGGAACATAACAAAAAGCGCCAATGACACCATAGTCTATCTTATGACTCTAGTAGCCTATCTCCCGACTCACTACCCTACCCCTCCACCAACCATCTACCTCCCCAGCTCCCTTCCTCCTGTTTAAACTAAATACACATCACTACCCCTAATCTGCTACTTAATCTTGCATCTCAAAGAAATCCTATCAAATATCATGTCCTAGTTTGCTACCTAATTTTGCGTCTCAAATAAATCCTATCAGATATCATGTCTTAGGATCTGTTTGTTAGCAGCTTAATAGGACTCACAGTTTATCCAGTCAGCTATACATGATCATTTGTAAATGGCTTAATGATATTGAAATTGGCTTATTCAGTAGAAAGCCAATTTCTTTTTAAACATGCACCTCCCAATTAAAAAAACATGCTTCTTTCATCCATGAAAAAACCATTCCAAAAAAAATCTCTGAATCTACCCAGACAGACATCTTTATCCATACAGGATTTAAATTGAAAACCAACCAAACAGCCCCTTAGTTTGCTACAAATCTTGCATCTCAAAGAAATCCTATCGGATGTCATGTCCTCAAAAAATGCTAAGGGTTCCATGTTCATCCTTAGTTGCTCATTCCTATCCTTCCTGGGCTATTTCCCCATAAATTAATTGGTTATAAGAAATAAAAGGAATTACCAATCATTAGAAAATCAATTTCGATATTGGATTTTCTCCTCTAACTCCCGTGACCAAAAAGGTCTAATATGTTGTTATCATCTTCTCAGGAACATGGAGGTCACTACCAGGCCAGCTTGCTTTTGTCTTTCTACACTATCAGTTCTTGCGGTTGTAGTTGCTTTACATGGCTATCCTATTCAATCTCCACTCATCATGTCTTCCTTATATAAACCCCACCCTAGCATTACTTCAATATCCCACAATACCCATCAACCAAAATAAAAATGATTCACATTTTCTTAATCCTTTGCTCTCTCTTCACCTTCTCCACTCATGCTGCAGTCCAAGACTTTTGTGTCGCGGACCTGAAAGGCCCGGAAAGCCCTGCTGGTTACTCTTGCATACCGGCCGCCAAAGTCATAGTGGATGACTTTGTGTCTACAAGCCTACGCGGTGCAGGGAACACTTCCAACATCATCAAAGCAGCTGTTTCTCCAGCATTTGCTGCCCAATTTCCTGGTGTGAATGGCCTCGGTATCTCCATTGCAAGATTGGACCTATCCCCTGGTGGAGTGATTCCAATGCACACACATCCAGGTGGTTCCGAGCTCTTGCTGGTGACACAAGGGTTTATTAAGGCTGGTTTTATCTCCTCAGCTAATACAGTTTACGTGAAGACCTTAAAGAAGGGTGATATCATGGTATTCCCACAAGGGTTGTTGCATTTCCAAGTGAATGCTGGTGGGGTTACAGCAGTTGGATTTGCGAGCTTCAGTAGCGCGTCACCAGGCCTACAAATTACCGATTTTGCATTGTTTGCAAATGACTTACCATCATCATTGGTGGAGATGACTACTTTCCTTGATGATGCTACAGTGAAGAAGCTCAAATCTGTTCTTGGTGGAACTGGCTAGTCCTCCTAATTTTCATGTGCACACCATTCTTTTGTGTTATTACCAGTCTTTTCGTGTTTTAGAGTACTGTCGTCATTAACCTGATGATGACAGCATTCTACGTTTGTTTTGAACTTTAGGACATCAGGCAAGGATTCATGCAAGTCAAACCCCAAGTAATTGGGACTATGTTGGTCTTAAGTGTTCTTTGCTAGTTTGATGTTATGCTGTTGTTTCAATTCCAGTTTCCAATTTGTTGATACTGTTTTCTGGATTGATGTGAAAAGGGCCTTCTAATACTGCATTTCCTATTTAGTTTGGCCTGATGACTTGAAAGACACCATATCTTCTAATTCATGCATGGTTGAAACACTAGAGATATAAGATGACAAATTGTTGGCTGATTAATGTCTTTGCACTAAGCCAAAACTGTGTTCCCTAATTTTTATGTTATAATAAATTTTTATAAGCGGCTCATGTGGAAATACTTACTTGGTGTTGTGGCTTTTGTTGCACGTTGCCATACGGGGAACCTAGTTTAGGACCGTCCTGCATGAAAATGAAAGTAGTTTTTCAGTTATATTACATTGCAACATCTTTTTTTGCCTTAGGAATGTGACAAAGATACAGACTTATGCAACTTCCTAACTTGAGCTTCTGAAAATACGATTCAAAAGGAGGAATGGAACACACAGCAACCGAACCATCTCTTCCGACCGCACATGCGAATAAGTTTCTCTTCATTGGCCATGTACAAAGACTTCATGCCTTTAAGTCCCATTAAGCCGAAGAACCTTGGTGCACTTGGGTTGGGTTGCTCCATACACTCCTCGTATCTCTTCAAAGAAAATTTCAACGTTAATTTAGTCATTTTCTGATGCTGTTACAATATCACTAATCAATAACCAAGGAGATGATAACAAAATTATGCAACTTTTAAACTTGGTTCCAGATGGAGTCATACAATTGGCTGAAAGGATAAAGAAAACAATATCAACCGTACCATTTATTCATAAAAGTACCAAGACTGAATCAAATAGCCTGCAAGTTGCCTACTTGAACATCTCCAACAAGCATTCTTAATTAAGTATGAGTATTTGAAGGAATATTCTTAGTTGGTCTCTTTCCTCTTATATATTTTTTCCTTTCTGGAAATGGCTTCCAAATAACTGGGATGGGGTTTTTGGGTGAGTTCTCTGGGCTAAAAAGTCAATGGTGATGTTGGGCCAATCTTTAATTTAAGATCCTCCCGACAGAAACATCATGACCTAATCTCTTACGTAAATTGTTTTATAAACCTCTGGTTGTATATATTATAAACCCGACAAGCTATTGTCAGAGAACCAGGCCAAGAATCTTTTATGAGCCAATAAGACAGGAAGGAGTAAACTCATACAAGAACAACTCCTTTATTACTAATTAATCCCACAAGAAAACAAACCTGCCGTCTTGGTTACAAATTTAAAGATTTTTTCTCTGTCAACTCTGCCATTTTGTCTTTTAGATTAAAAAAATGATTAATTAAGAAATAAGAGAACAATTACCTAAAAGAGGACATTATATCTTCCAAAAAACAGCACATCCACCTCATCCCAACCCCATATAACACCAATCCCCTACTTCCTATTTATGTTCAAGCATCCTCTAATCTCAAACAAGACAACACCTCTCTTCTTCCTTGTTTGAGATCCAATGATCAAGCAAGACTCTCTCTTCTTACCTTCCCTTCCCTTAAACACACCCCCTATGTCTGAAACCATGTTCTTTGGAGAACCAGATCCAGACCTGAACTCTGGTCACATCTTGGATTGGTTAGAAGACTCGATACCATACCTGCCATCTCTCCTAGACGACCTGTATGGATCCACTGATATCATCAATGATCCTTGGTGGGTACCGACGCAAGAGCTAGAACAGGATCTCATTGATGCTAATAATACTTCTACTTCTAACTCTGTAGAGAACTTAACCAGTAGTGTCAGCAGTCCAACTATTACAGCCCCTACTGATCTTCTTATTCTCTCTAATGAGCCACAACTGCCGGTCTCTGATTTATCAAAGAAACGGAAAGCACCAGAGGACCATATGCCACAGCCAGCTCCACAGGGCAAAAAATCAACTGGAAACAAGAAGGGAACAGGCAAATCAACAAAGGATAACTGTATTAACGGTAACAATAAAGAAGGGAGGTGGGCGGAGCAGTTGCTGAACCCGTGTGCTGCAGCAATCACCTCTGGAAACGTGACTCGTGTCCAGCACCTCCTCTTCGTACTCCATGAATTGGCCTCACCAACTGGAGATGCCAACTACAGGCTGGCCTCTCACGGGCTGCAAGCCCTCCTCCACCACCTCTCCTCATCCACCAACAGTCCCACAAAGGTGTTGACCCCAGCCATCAGTTTTGACACAGCAACACCCAAATTCTTCCAACGATCTCTAATCAATTTTAATGACATCAATCCATGGTTCACAATCCCTTTCAACATTGCCAACAATGCCATCCTACAGGTCTTGTCCGAGCACGACCATGGGTCCCGCAGGAACCTTCACATACTTGATATTGGAGTCTCGCATGGATTCCAGTGGCCAACACTTCTAGAAGCACTGAGTAGCCGACCAGGGGGTCCACCACCATTGGTTCGAGTAACAGTAGTCCCCCCAACACTTGAGAACCATCAACTTCCCTTTGCAAACTGCCCACCTGGCTACAACTTCGCCTCATACATTTTACGTTTCGCCAAGGACCTCAACATCAATTTACAGATCAACAGACTCGACAACTGCCCTTTGCAAAATCTAAATACCCATATCATCAATTCATCCCCAGACGAAACCTTAATAGTCTGTGCTCAGTTTAGACTTCACTATCTCAACCACACTAAACCAGACACCAGAACAGAGTTCTTGAAACTGATGCGAAGTATGGAGCCCCAAGGAGTGATTTTGAATGATAACGATATGGACTGTAGCTGCAGCAACTTTGATGCCGGATTTTCACAGAGCTTAGACTATTTATGGAGTTTCTTGGACTCGACAAGCGTGGCATTTAAAGGGAGAGAAATGGAAGAAAGAAAACTGATTGAAGGGGAAGCCGCAAAGGCACTGATCAACACGTTTGAAATGAATGAAAAGAAAGAGAAGTGGGGAGAGAGGATGAGGGGTGTCGGGTTTTTAGAGAATGCATTCAGTGAGGATGTCGTCGACCAAGCTCGTGCACTGTTGAAGAAGTATGACACTCACTGGGAAATGAGAGTTGAAGAAAAAGATGGGTCTGTAGGATTGTGGTGGAAAGGGCAATCTGTTTCCTTTTGCTCTCTATGGAAAATAGATGCAAAAACTAGCGATTCCTAGAACTAGTAGCAGAATAAGTCTGAATTGTTCTGTTTTAGTATCAGTTTTCTCCACTCGATGTCAAGGAAAGAGCAACACTAAACTGCAATCGTTCTCATTTCTTACATTGTTACCGCTACCAGTTTTATAGTAATTTTGCCTGCCATGATCATTACAAATACGAACATCAAAACAACCTACTTGACAATCTTCAACCATGATATCTCTACGATCAGGTCGTCAAATGATGGATCCATTAGCCTTGAAAACATCCAACGATGAGTATTTGTTCATACTGCATTAAAAAATTACGGATCTAACTCCCATACATTATATTTGTCAAAGAAAGGTCAGAAAACGAACTTTCAAATGAACATTGTTGAAGATTTCTACGTATGAACAGGAAAGACAAACATATGATAGACCGCAAAGGCAATATGAACTTGCTCCGATATAGAAAGATAACTCAGTCAAACAATTCATCGAACACCGCAAAGGCATACCTACATTTACTAAATCCAAGCAACTCTGGCCGAATTATGAGGAAAAAAAGCACAAACATCAACTTAACTCGTGTATCACCAATCTGGCAAGATTACTAAGACTCTCCGATTACCTTCGCTACCGTCACCGGTCGCCGGGAATGCCAAGCAACCGACGAAAAGCGGTTGCATGACTGAAACTCTGTTTATCGAACTACGTATTAAAAAGAGTAAATTACACCGGTGGTTTATGTGTGTTGCTCACCCACTTTTCAATTCCACAACGTTTAAAGTGTCTGAATTCAATATTGGCGTTTAGCAACCATTAAAAAGGATAAATCAATCTTCCAACAAATTCAAACCATAAAAAATTGTAATTCACTTTAAAGTTAATTATGATTATATATTTTAAAAAATATTAATTATCATATTTTAACTCTTAAACATAATTATTTTTCAAAATAAGAAATTATTTATCCTAATAAACAAATTTTAATAGTTAATAAAAATATATTTTAATTATTATATTTTAACTTTTAACACATAATTATTTTTCACAACAGAAAAATTATTTATCCTCACAAACAAATTTATATATGTAAGTATCCATGTTATTTTTAGTAAAGAATTTTTGTTAATAAGTTTTGTACGAGTCACAGTTAATTTTAAGTGAATTGTGCTTTTGGTCCATGTAGTCCGTCTAAAGATGGATTTGTCTTTTTCTATCGATTGCTAACTAACGGAGTTAATACCCAGAGACCTTGAGTGCTATTAAATTGTAAATTTGAGGAAGAGGTATGGCGCCTAATTGAGGAAAAGGTCCCATGAATTGGGAGTTGTAAGCCTCGCAACGCTATTGAGACCCCAACCGTTCACTGATCCTCGCATGTCAAGTTACCAAGCTATGCTATAAGTATAATCATTGTAGATGGTTTGTTTTTAAAGACGAAATCCAAAATTTAAGTAAACCACAAGGACCATTAATTCATTTTTTCAAAGGAATAAATAAAAATAAGAGTAAATTACAATTGTGTCCCTGTGATTTGCCAATAATTCAGCTCGTGGTTTAGAAATTGAAATTTTAGTCCTTACGGGGTTTGCAATTACTGGCAGATTCCTCCGTGTTGTGAACCAAATATACATCCATAATTGTTGCTTTCATGAGCAACAGATCTATATTATATTTTATATATATAAACAAAATTCCATTGCATAATAAATATGAAGAATACCATAATACATATACACCTACAGAAATACATACCATCTACGTTCTTTAGACTATATTCGCAACCTCAAGAGTCGTATATCCTGACCGAACTGCGGATCGTTTGTCTACAAACAGGACATTTGGGAGACAAATCCCGCTCAACAGAAAGAGCGCATCGTGGGCAACAGACTAGATGCCCACACGGTACGAATGCAGACCTCCGTTGTCTCATCAAACAGATCACACACAACTGCCCTTCTGGAACATCGCCACCCTCTTCTGCCGCTACATCAGCTTCCGCTTCACTACTTTCCTCGGCCGCATTTTGCTGCTGAATCTGCCTTCTTTGTCTCCACTCTTTCCATCTGTTCCAGTTCCTGAACAGTCGATAATAATAATTAATAATTCGTGAAAAACTTTCTTTTCATATTTGGAGGACGGAATTCAGATGGTATAAGCTGCAGTGAATTTTATAAGAACTGTGAGAGATATGTGGGATACTCGGATGGCTCTTCAAAAAAGCCCTTAGGGTGCGTTTGGTACGCAGACAGGACAGGACAGGACGGGACAGGACAGGGTGGGACAGGACGGGACAGGACAGGGTGGGACAGGACAGGACAGGACAGGACAGCTGTTCAGCGTTTGGTAAGACATGATAGGACTGGACAGAACTGGTTAAAATGACCAATTTACCCTAGTGAGTCAATCCTAGAATTCTAACCACCATGATCAAGCAAAAAAGCCCTAAATCGATTCTAACCACCCTGAATCGCCATGAACGCACAAAACAATATTCAAACAAAGAAAATTGATTAAGATTCTACGAACTATCCCAAATCAGCAAATAGATTAAGATTATACTCATATATAATCACGAAGAAAATTGAAGTTCATATACCTGCTGAATCAGGATATCCCTAAATCGATTTTGATCAAGTAAAAAAACCCTAAATCGATTTTGATCAAGCAAAAAAAACCCTAAAGCGATTTTGATCAAGCAAAAAAAAACCCTAAATCGATATCTCTAACCTGTTCATCATCTATTCCGATCAAATCCTCCGCCACATCGTATCCCAACCCAACCGCCGCGATGGAGTTGAACAGCAGTCGCCGTCACCTGTAGAAGCGATGGAGGAGAGGAGAGACGGTGGAAGCGATGGAGTCGACCAGGGTGGAAGCGATGGAGGAGAAGAGAGACAGTGGAATCGATGGAGGAGAGGAGAGACGGTGGAATCGATGGAGGAGAGGAGAGACGGTGGAATCGATGGAGGAGAGGAGAGACGGTGGAATCGATGGAGTCGACCAGGGTGGAAGCAATGGAGTCGATTGAGGGTGGAAGCGATGGAGTCGATTGAGGGTAAAGAGGTAAAGTTTTCCTTGTTCTAGTTAGTGCCAGGGGTAAAGGGTGGACAGCCKTGTCCCACCCTTGTACCACTTAGTTCTAGTTAGTCCCATATAAAATCACACCAAACATGGGACAAGTGTGTCCTGTTCTGTCCTGTTCCACCTTGTCCCATGCACCAAACGCACCCTTAAGGAGAATGAGAAGGTTCCAACATATATATACACGGCCCCACCAATGCAGGCTGGATGCACACAGATTGTCCCAGAGTGTCAAGAGGGGGCTGGCAAAAGTGTCGAGTCCCTGGAGTGGCAGACCTTGGCTTTGATACCATGGGAGGATATGTAGAATATTTAGATCACGCTCCAAAAGAGCCCTTAAGGAGAAAGGGGATATTCCAACATATATACAGGAGAAATGGTCCAAGTCTAGCTGATGTGGAACTCCAACAAGAACCACTAGAGACCAAAGTTACAAAAGAGCACAAATTGAGTCCCATATACACAATTTGATTTTAAAACTCAGCAGACAGTTAAAAAGCAGACAACCACATAGATGTTATGGCATATTGACAGCCTTATAAACCATCTGCCTTTATAATCCATACTTTCTCCATCCCATGGAAATCGCAACATTTTTCCTTTTGGGGATATCCCATATATTTTACCTTTTTTTAGAAAGTTTGCATGTTAAAATTACCTAGTTTGCATTGGACATGATTACAGAGAATATTATTGTTGATTTGGGACCAAAAAGATATTAAAGGTCTTTACAGATATCAACAGACTCGAATGATTGTTTTAAAATGTGACATTTTTCACGAGACTTATGAAGTCAGGATACAGGCTGCAATAACATCTAGAAAGGAAGTTGTTTAAGCCCACAGCCCCACATATGAGCACATGATCAGGAACAGAAAACCACGAATGGCAAGTGCTTTTTCCTATTTCAATGAGAACTTGATAAGTCTATTCACCTACAAGTCTTGCTTTTGCTGCTATACCAATACTAGTAGTGAGCAAATTTGACCCACATTCATAAAATTGGGTCATCTTGGGTGATTTCTTTTGACTATTTGGATTTGTTTGGGTTGCGCTTAGTGTTTGAACTCGTCCAATGATCTGAACTTAAAAAGCCACTTAAAGAATGGGTCATACAGGTTAATTTTCGGCCAAAACTCCTAAAACTAACCCTACTATTATCGCCTCAACACCCGGGCGGCGATAGCTTCTTTGCTCAAGTCATCATTTCGTCATCATCTTAGCTTTAGAATGCAATTGGGTTATCATCTTCTTTGCTCAATCCCTTCATCAATCATCAACTGCTCGTCAGATCGAGATATATTTTGTTGCTTCAAGAGATGATGCTATCAAGATTCTGTTACACAAAACTCTCCTAGATAGCACCTTATAGCTCTGTTGTTATTCTCCTTTAATATTATTCTACTTTGTTCCTAAATATTTGTTGACTTCCTTTTCACAGCATGATAGATAATTTATAAGCCGATGATTTTCCCTTTGACAATAGATTCAGGGATTTACAAGATCTCTAACAAAACTCACCTTCTAAGAGAGACAATTCCGAAAGACGCAACCAAAGATAATGCCAGCTAGTCAACCTACCATCCCACATTTATGACAGCCTTCTAGCCTGTTATCACTCTATGAACTTAGCTTTGTGAACACACTGTAATCAACTTTCCTCTTACTGTAATGAGAACATTTAGAAGGTATTCAACAATAATTTACTTCACTAAAAGTATGCCATAATGTTAAATACTCAACTGCCTTTCAATGGTGGGCCTTGATAGTATAATATTCTACAACAATTTACATAATTAAGAGTATGAATTAACTTGTGCTTCGGTTAAAATCCCACATGGGAGCACTCCGGAACTAACTAGACAACTTGAACAGCAGTGTAAAATTGAAAAGCGATCATGTTACAACTTTTTGCATAGCTATAGACATTAAAACTCCTGCTGGAATAAAGATATTATCTTACTAGAAACAATGCACATGCATAGCAACATAAAAAAAACAATAAACTTAAGAGGGAAAGCAAAGAACCATAATACCTTACAACAGAATAGCCAAGGATGGCAGTTGCCAGTGAACCGATAACAACTCCACTCCACAATAAAACCTTTGTCCTGAAGTCGAGTTCCACTACCATCTGATCTTTGCTCATATTTGATCTTGCAAGCGAGCAACATAAGTCAGTGAGTAAAGCTAAGCATTTCTCAGGTTAGACACTGTAGGTTAAGTTGTTTCAAAGTGCATTCCAGAAATCTATTGTAATCCAATGCTAAATTCTATTGTTAAATCTGATCCAAAAACCAGGAACTACAATACAGATGGGTAGTTAGAATACAAGGTTGTTCACAGGACAGATGAAGGAACTAGTTGACATCCAAGTAAAAGAGTGAATATTGCATTCATTTAGAAAACTAAATGTGTAGGTCAGATACGTCCAAGGATCGAGAGCAGAAGTTTTAGATTGCATTATTTGGTGAAAAATATGCCTAGGAATGAAAAAGGCATGATATCATAGATAAAGAGCCTAAGTGATAACATTGAAACTACAATACAAATGATATAATCACATTAGGCAAGCTAGTGGAGTAGTTGTCAGGAGACAGGATGAAGTTATGAATGTCATAAGCCATTCATTATGTGGAGACTATGGGAGAACCAAGAAGAATAAGTCGTTAAGGATACCAAACTACAAGATGTATTTATGGTTCTTAGTGGATGCATTTTCTGGAAGATTTTGGGCATGGTAATAAGAATCAACTATCAAGGTAAAGAACACGTTTGTAGTTTCCACAACACATCGCAAGACTGCCTTGCCTCAGTTGCCCATATTCGCCCCTACCCTGCCCAGGTTTCTGTCTCCATTTTAAATGACTTCATTGTTGTAATTTTTTCATATTGAAACACAATCAACGAGTATCCTTTAGAAGCGGAAGAGACTTTAATCGTATAGACTTTGTCCTAGCTAGAAAGGGGGGTCCCGTTACATGAACAAGTGACGGACCATAAGCTTTTAGTGCCAGACATATGGATTAGAGATGATATTAGACAGTAATGGCGTTAACAAACTAAAAAAAGACAATCTGAGTATGGTTAACAATTTAATGGTTAAAAAAGGGTTCCAGGGTCACTGAATACTAAGTTGATGTACTGTTGAAAGAGATGCCAGCATGCAACAAGATGCCAAAGGGTAACAAAGGAGATGGTTGAGTAAGCAGATGAAGTATGCATCAAACTGAAACCAGATGGTAGTGCAACAAGCTGACTAGAACTAAGTTGCAAACGTTGAGGCAATTGTGCAACAACACAAGAGATGGGATTAAAAATGATGATGATGATATATATATATATATATATGTGTGTGTGTGTGTAATAATCTAAAGGCAGCATCGATTGCAGAAAAGCGAATGTCGCATTCGTTTAAGCACGTTTCCCATCCCCTTTTTTGTAGGTTCATCCCCCATCTATCCTCACAATCGGAAATAGGACCCTGGAACTGATAAGGATAAAATGACTAAACAAATAGACCCCAAGGAACCACTCCTCGAGGTGGTTTGATCACAGCTAAACTAGATTCTTGGTACAGAAGGAAGTAGTGAAAAGATTTTTAAGTGACCGAATATGCCAACTGAGCTCGTTTTAGACAGATGCGCTAACAAAAGAAAACTAAATGTTACCTTCACAATTTACTTTGTAGGATGAGTCAATGATTTGATAAGTTCTGGTCTCTTCTAACCATGAATAGAAATATTGCATTACAAGGACTAAAGCACACATGCTATGGGCACTAACCATAGGCGGCATAGGCCTCCCAAACATTGTCCAAGACTAGAATATTTGTTGGTCACAAATACATCTTAATTAGAAAACAACAGATCAAAAAGCACATCAACCTAGAACTAGTAAACAATCTTCTCTATCTATTTGAAAACAATCACAAAAAATAATCAAATTTCAATCATATTGGATGCTGACATACTTCAATTAACTCAGATGGTGCGATTTAAAGAAATTAAACAGATAAAGATTACAAGTATGTGTGCAGGTTCATCATTGTAATGTAATGAAAAAGATTCCTGATGAAATATCCTTACAGAAAAAAAGGTAGATCCTTGCATGCCATCACTTCAGGAATTCCGTTTCTCAAACTGACAAGGCCAACTGCAGTGATTTCCTTTCCAACTGGTAGAATCTTCTCTTCATCCAGAAGCCCAACCTTCAACATCAGCAAGAAAGAGATAAGACAACTAAGATCACATCAAGAACTGAAAGAATTCACAAAATAATGTAGGAAGATGAATCATGAACAATACATGTCTGGACTTACAGGATACTCATGACCGAAAAATGCCTGGAGGAAAGTGTAAGGAGAAGCATTAATAGGCTGCAAATTGTGGTATACAGTTGTAAGAGGTAGAGGATGCTTCGAGCCATCCAAGTTTACGGCCAGATAATCAGATTGTGGCCACCTACCCCCATCAACAAGGATAAAAGGAACCTATCCAGGAAGAAATCATGGATGCCATATTAGATTCTGAAGTCCGAAGATGATTGATGTTGTTTGTGACAAACCAGAAAAATAGTATTGCAGTAGGTTGTGACAGTAATATACTTGGACACAGTGGTAAACCACAAACATATTGTGGAGTAGGGGTCACTCTAATGCAACTGATAAAAAAGAAATTACCAAAAGATAAAATTATAACATTAAATCAATTGTTGTACATTTATATGTCTTTTAAATAATAACAGAAACTCATATTAGCAATACAAACTATACAAAAACAGTAACACATTGGTGAACTCACAAGATATAATTAACACATAAATTTGTTCGTCAAATGGCCATTGAATCTCAAAATGTTAGACCACAAACATATTGATTGATAGATTATGGAAAAATAAGTCAAAAATTATTAGAAACTAAAGTGTCATTATAATGTAACTTGATAACTAGAAAAGCAAAAAAAACGTCCTCAGCAAGGACACCAGAAACCAAACACGCATGGGAAGGCAATCAACTTCTAGAGTCTGCTTAACCACTACGACCTACAAAAGCTTATGCTTAGAACCATGGAAATATAAAATCAGTGACGTCAGGGGACCTGCAGTCCCCTTTCCCACCTGGGTCTGCACAGCGTGGAGAGATCCACTAGCATGGATGCTTAATCACTATCATTACTTTCTAAAGGAATAGCTAGTGCAATTACTAGCTGAAAAAAAGAGTAGGGGCTAGGATTAAAAAGTTGGTACAAAAAAAAGCAGCAGCTAAATGAAGGTGTGCAGTAAAGTGAACAACACAGCATACATCATCAAGAACCTTGGAGACACTTTACATTAGTGTGTGTGTGTGTGTATATATCTCAAAGATACTTCGTAGGTGGTTCGTAAGGGTACTAGTAAAACCAAATAAACAAGATTATGGCGGTTGGTAAGGGTACTAGCAAAAGCGAAAGTAGCATGTTGTGAGCCAGGCATCATAGATTTATGCATATACCCTTTCTACTTGCAGGGTGATGAAAAATCTAGATCTCAAGACAGATGAGTGTTGATGAGAATTGTGCCCAAGCATGATCATTTTTGCACTTCCATCTAGATTTCTCAAGTATAACTAGAAACTATTGCATTTAAATTGAATGTAAAATGCAAGACATGTACAATCTGCATTTAATATGGGAGTTGTTTTATTCTTTATGTTTTATGCCGATCAGTGATGTTAAAACCAAGTGGGTTCAATTCGGATTAAAACAATAATGTCAAAAGACTGTTCGACATCAATAATTTGTAAACTTTCTAGGTGAAAAGCTGTTATGTTAAAAAACTTACAAATAACTCTAAATACATGAATTTTGAGGTTACCGTTCTTAGTGATGACGATTCTTGCTCTTTCCAATGTCTTGCAAATAAGGAGCGAAAATCTGAAGTCCATCCAAAAAATCCCCTCCATTCATTGTATATACACTGCAAGAATTCAAGATAATTCACACTTTAAACTGAAAAAAAAATAAGGATACATAAGAAATAAAGAAACATCTGTTCAATCAATCAAGAAACCAGTCAAGTTATTCATGCTATATGCCTAAACATTACATCAATCCCTAGAAATAAGTAGATTAAAAAGAACAAACATTGTCCTAACTTTTAGTTGAGCAATTTTTCCTAGACATAATAAGTTCACAATGTAATCACAATTCACAAAACCTCTAATATATAAGCATATAAACAAATTTTAAAGACTATTCATGTGAAGAATAGAAAGATTGAGATATGCAGTATATACCGTCTGCGTTCGCTGCAAGATAACCGCTTTCTCGTTAGATTCATGAGATACCAGAACGTTTTGTTTTTTCCAGTTGCCATTGACAACAGATTTTGCCTCAACAACTCCTCGAACGATGACGAGCTTCTCGTCAACGCAACTGGTCGTGTCCGTATCTTGATCGGAAGAATGAGAGAGCACAGAACGGAGATCGGAGACGCCGACGGAAGGTGCTTTCTTCACTTTGTTCAAAGCCGATGATGTCGTCTTGTACTTGAGAACACTACGTACTGCAATGTACGCTAAGGCTAGACCGAGTACTGCACCATCGGCGGCTAGGGCTACTTGCGATAGGACTGCGACGGCTGCTTGATCGTGTACCGACATCGTATATCAGGAACTAAAGATGGAAGCGGACGTTGTGGTGTTTACCATCGAATCGGTGACGGAGTTAATTAGTAAAAGGAAATGGTGGTGGCAGTGGCGCCTTCGGTGGCCGGCGGAATACAGCGGAGGAGGCGAGGAATACGAGCGGAGCAAGAAATTCTCCAATGAATGTATAAATGGCTGGTAGATTGGACCGGGTCTTACTACTTTTAATACTTTTAGTAGGTTGCAATTTTCGTCCTCAACTATTTGTTGATCTACAATTTTCGTCCTCAACTATTTGTTTATATACAATTTTTGTCCTCAACTGTTTGTTGATCTACAATATTTGTCCTCAACTGTTTGTTATTCTACAGTTTTTGTCCTCAACTATTTATTAATCTACATTTCTAGTCCATTAGTTGATGTTCAACCAATTTCTGTTAAGTTTTTAAGCATTCTTGTATCTAAAAATTTGGTGATCCAGATGTCTGTAACTATTTTGTAATTTGTTTGTAACTCATAACAGATTATGTTCTACGTGTTAGGTAAGATTTATAGTAGGGTTACGATTTTTTAAGTTAGTTTATCGTAATTTTTTCGTAAATATTTTTGCTACTATTTTTGGGTTCGTAATGTTTGTAAGTCTCTGTTACGTGAAAAAAATTGCAATTATTTTCGTAATAATCTTCAGGGGGGCCGTAATTCTTGGCTCGTAACTCGAATCAATATGATTATTTTTATTTTCCTATTCCTTTTTGAGTTCTATTAAATCGTAATAAAATTGTAACCATTTTCGTTGGCATGCAACCCATATCGAGATAATCTTTTTAAATTGCTTAATTTCAAGATACACATTGATGATAAGAAGAATTAAGAGTCCAGATACACGTAAATATGCATTGTACAAGATCAACCGAGAACCGAAAGTCAATTCGAGAATAAATGAATTAAGCTTCGTGAATAAATTGTCAAATTAATGTAATTTTCTATGCTAGCTTGTGTGTTTTCCTTTTCCATTAGCATACGAGTAAAAAACCAGATGTAATTAACAATGAGGATTTTGATTAAAAAAAAAGTTGTTGTGGTAACAACAGTTACCAGTTATATATTTAAAAAATTCCAAACTTCAAAATCAACTTGTTGAATTTTGTATTGATTATTATACGAAAAATGATAGATAAAATAAAACATCAAAACTTTATTTCATATTCTATACTCACATACGATACAAAACATATCATATAAGTCGGTATATAAACCAACTAAAAACGGTACATTTCAAGTGGAAGCCTTGGTTGAGCTACGGTGAGAAGTGGAATCTTTTTTGGGGTGGACAAGCCAAATATTTCTTCCATGTTCAGATCATCCTTAGTCATTGTGCTTGGCAGTTTCCACATAAACCCATGGAGCAAATTTGCCAAACTTGCTTCGATCACTTTCAGTCCGAGACTGTACCCTGGACACATCCTTCGTCCAGCACCAAATGGCAACAACTCAAAGTCATGACCCTTGACATCAATTTCCTTTCCGATGAATCTTTCCGGACAAAATTCTTCAGGTTTATCCCATAATTGAGGGTCTCTTCCGATTGTCCAAACACTAACAAGCACCCGGGTTCCTTCAGTAATGTCGTAACCAGCTACTTTACAATCCTCGCGAGCTCTTCTAGGGACCAACATAGGTGCCACTGGATGCAACCTCATCGTCTCTTTAGCAATTGCCTCAACATAAGGTAGGTTACGCATGTCCTTCTCTTCGACCCATCTATCCTTGCCAATGACACGATCAAGCTCTTCAATCGCCTTTTGGAATATCTCAGGTTTCTTCAAAAGTTCAGCAATCGCCCATTCAACAGTAACTGCAGAGCTTTCAGTTCCGCCAGCAAGCAAGTCCTATTAATATCAAATCACAAGATTTCAGCCGACTACTACAAATTGACGCACACAACATTCATTAAACGACAATTATTTGTTTGGTAAACAGTCGTAGTCAAATAACCATTTTGAACATCAATTTAAAAGAACATTTTTATGCACAAACAGATTTATATGCCTATTTTAAAACGTAATTTATGACTTTCGACTAAATTTTATCCAAAGACTGCTACAAGTCCACAAACCTGTATGATTTACATTAAGGGGTTGGTTACCAAATACTTACTCCGATAAGCGCTTATCAAATCACATTACCTCCCCGGATGAATATGACAAGAATCAAGAATCTTACTCGGTAAAAGTGAATACAAGGACTTAGAGTCTTATCCGGTAAATGATGGCGACGACTTTTACTACGGTCAGCACTTATAGGGTAAATTGTTACATACGATGTCATTTTGGTGGATTAAAATTTTATCTGACAAATAAATGATAATGTTTAATTTTATTGTAATAAACACTTACCAGATAAATGTTTAGATAAACGGTATTAAACGTTATATGATTCCTTATATAAGTCAACCAATGTGACAATCTACGTTAATAAATAAACAAAAAGGTTGCTGCAAACAAGTCATTTTCTAGAAGCTCTACTTTCTGCTGACACTCTAACTTAGAAACTTATTCAACAACTCATTTTCTATATTATGAGATCAGTGTTAAACCATTATATATAATGACCAAATAAGCTATGAATCTCGTTAAACTCAATAAACGGATAACAAACAATCAGTTATTCATTTAAATTGAAATGGTAAAACAGAAATTAACCTGGGTAAAAGCTTTGACGCCATGCCTCTCAAGCTTAACATCCAGATTTGGATCATCAGCGAGCTGCAACAGCAAATCCACCATGTCCGTCGCTACGAAGTTCTCTCCGGCAGCCTTCCGCCGCTCGTTATGCTCATCCAACACATGCTCCAAAAACCGATCGAATTTCTTGCTCACCGCTTTCATCCTCTTCACATACCCCTGTAAATCCATGAAATCGATCCAGGGTATTGAATCTCCGATGTTAAACACGCCGTTCAACAGAAACAACTCATCCAGCATCTTCTTAAACTCATCTGGACGCACCACCGAGTTCGACTCATCCGATTCGTCCAAATACCTTTTCCCCAAAACCATCCGACTAATCACGTTCAAACTCACCGTAGACAACAGATCCTTCAACAAAATCTCCTCACCGGCGGAATCAAAAATCGATTTCACCAGCGATTTCATCTCCTCAACTCGGATGTACTCGTACGATTCGAGGCGTTTCACGCTGAACAACTCCATGAGACACATTTTACGAGCTTGGCGCCAATACGGTCCGTAAGGAGACCATGTGATGTCGGAGTAATTATAGGTGGTGTATTTACCGGCAGCGGTCTTAGGACGGCAAGCAAAGTTGACATCCATGGTCTTGAGGACGACCTTCGCCATCTCAACAGAGGAAGCAACGACGACGTTGAATGAACCGAACTTCAATTGCATAATTTCTCCGTACTTTTGAGAGAGATCATGGATGGAACGGTGAGGAAGGGAGCCTATAAGGTTGAGATTTCCGATAATCGGCCAAGGTTTGGGGCCCGGCGGGGAGTTGAGATTCCGGGAACGGCGTCGGCGGCGAGAGAGAAGAATGAGAGCGACGGTGGCTAAGCATGCGACTGCATAAGAAGGCCAATGGTGAGTAGAGTCCATTGGAAATGGGGGTTTAGGTGTTAGTATGAGAATGAAGGTGAGAAGATGGTGTTTATTTATAGTTGGATTTTGCAGAGCAAGTGGCAGCGAGTTTCCCACTAGACAGAGTAAACCTTGACTTGTTTTTTGCAAACAACGTTTTTTTGCAAACAACGTTTTTCTCAAAACTATATTATAAAGTATTTAAAAATTAAAAAAAAACCATTTTTATTAATAAATTAAAGTTTATTGATGCATATTATTAAAATTTATGATTACAAATAAATTATATATAAATACGACTTATTAAAATTTCATGTTTGAATTCATGTAACTAATTACAGATAAATATAATCAAATAGAATAT